GTACTAGCAAAGGATATGGGCACAATGAATTTTGAAGAGATTTATCCCTTTGGAGAGGAATTGGTTGGAGATTGTATCATTGGCTTCTTATTGTATTCAGATGAACACTACTGCTTCAATACCATTTTCTCATGCCTTTCCAAGTGTAGTTAAATCTGGTAATTGTTTATAGAAATCTTTCTTCTTATTTCTTAATAACAATTTAGATTTTCATGTAAGTGCATCTGTTGCCTAAATTTGCATTGGCCAATAATTTGGTTAAAAACTTCACCGGGTTGAAAACATGATAACAATTATTCATAGAGTTCTGAAATATCTTGCAAAGGGAAGATTCAAATATTGAGTTTCTAAAAAGTGGAAAGCCTATTTGATGGGTATTTGATCTCACGGATTCTATATTTTTTTTCTTTTTCTTCATCAGCGTGACTCGATTTCTAAGGTTTTGTAACTACAACTAGGAAGTAGGGACTAATATAATAAGAACAGTATGTTAAATAGATCTGAAAATTGCCTTTTAAAAAATGTCTCAAAAGTCCAAGTGCCAAACAGAAGCTGGGATTGCAAAAAGATAATATTGATCTAAAATCTGCTTTTATTTCAATGTTCTCATTTAGTTAAATATTTAGGATTTGAAGCATGTTCAACATGCTAGAGCTTGAGATGTGAGTTATCTTATTTCCCATTGGTAATATCCTATGTGCATTTGGTTATTTTCTCTTATTTGTGTGCAAGATTATAAAAATAATAAGATGCGTATGACTACTAAATAGGTTAAGTCATGAATGGCAAGCCTACATTTCTCGAACTCATAGCCTACGGAAGACTTTCATATCTGTGAAAGGCATTTATTATCAGGTAAAGTTATCTTGTTTATTTATGGTATAATTTACATATTTTTATTTACTTATATATATATATATATATATATATATATATATTTAATATGAGGTCTTGATTCTTAATGATGCAGGCTGAGGTTGAGGGTCAGAAAATCACATGGTTAACTCCACATGCCTTGCAACAGGTTTTGACTGACGATGTCGACTTCAATGTCATGCTTACCTTTTCAGAATTTTACGTGGTAATTCACAACAACTATTAGTGCATCTTGCATAGTGACCATATCCATCTTTGAGGACAGTTTGTATACCAAAAACATAACATTTAGAAGCTTATGAATGCCATTGTG